GGGGCGCTGGGCCGCGAGGGGCGGGGGCTCAGCGGGGGGTGCTGGGCTGCAGGGTTCTCGACCCCCCCCCGCGCCCACCTGCAGGCTCAGCTTGCGGTAACGGTCGTTCAGCAGCTCCGCGTTGCTCTGCTCCTCGTCCAGCTCCTCCTCCAGCTGCCCGATCCGGGCCTCCAGGTGCCGCTTCTCATCCAGCAGCGCCGACCTGTGGGGAGGGGGGCCGGGCTGAATGGGGCTGGGAGCCCAGGGCAGCGGCGGTTCTGGTGCGAGCAGCTCCTGCTCCGTGCCCAGGATATGGGTCGTGGCATTGGCAGCGGCTGGGGGCACGGTGTTCACAAAGGGGTGTGGGCGAGGCATGGGGCAGTGGGCGGGGCAAGTGAAAGGATGGGGTGGGGCATGGGCATGGGCATGGCATACATGGGGGCATGGGTGAGGTCAGGGGGGGCAGGGGCGGGACATAGGTGGGGCAGGCATGGGGCAGGGACAGAGGGCGTGGCAGGGAGCAGGGCCCATGGCAGCAAGGGGTGGAGCTCACAACAGGCCAGAGGCAGGGGAGTGGCGGGGCGGGGCCCACCATGGGCGGGGGGGCGGGCTTTGTGCAGGAGGCAGGGTCCAGGGCACTTGTCATCACCAGGGGTGGAGTCTACAGCAGTGGGAGGGGCCTATGCAGTGGGCGGGGCACTCACTTGCCACTGGCACCATTGGCCAGCTCGTCAGCCAGGTCGTCACGCTCCTGCTGCGCCTGCCGCTTGGCTCGCTCGGCCGCCGCCAGCTCCTGGAATGGGCGGGGGAGGGGTCAGGGGGTAGGGGGACTTGGCTGTGCTCGGTGGGGCGTTGACACCCACCCCACAGCATGTACCCACCCCTACCACAATAGCTCCACCCCCTCACCTCCTGCAGCTGAAGTAGCCGTGCCCCAAATGAAAGAGCCCCACCCCCTCGCCCCCTGCAGCTGAAGTAGCCCCGCCCACAAATGGAAGAGCCCCACCCCCTCACCTCCTGCAGCTGAAGTAGCTCCGCCTCCAAGTTTTTCAGCTTCTTCTCGTTCTCCCTGGACTGGATGAAGATCTCCTCGCGGGACGTGCGCGACTCCTCCACCTCCCGCCACAGCTCCTTCATCTGGGCCTGTGGGGGATGGGTTGAGAGCAAGTGAGAGACTCCCCCCCGGACGCCAGGGTCCCATAATGAAGGGTAAGTTCCACTCTTGGGGCACCCGGACGCTGGGGTCCCGTAACGCAGAGCAAGCCCCACTGCTGGGGTGCCCGGATGCCAGGGTCCAATAACACAGGGTAAGCCTCGCCCCTGGGGTGCCAGGACGCCAGGATGCAGGAGGAGAACGAACAAGATACTCAAGCTCCCAGCATGCACTGCTCCCCTTCTGGCTTCCCCTGTGGCCCAGTTAGGTGCCCGATGCCCCTCCCCTAGTCCCCCAGGCTCCTCCCCCAGCCCCCAGGCCCCTCCCCCGGCCCCAAGCCACACATCCCACCTGCAGTTTGCGGAGCTGCTTGACGGCCTCTTCGCGCCCCTTGTTGGCGGCGTCGATCTGCCCCAGCACCTCCTGCAGGTCCAGCTCCAGCTTCTTCCGCGCCGCCACCACCTGGGCCCGCTGCTTCCGCTCGCCGTCCAGCTCCTGCTCCAGATCCCGCACCTGGGGGGGGGGGTGCAGGGGTCACCCACGGCCAGTGC